ACCACCACAGTTCATGGTGTAGAGGCGGAAGGGGGCGCTTGGTTAAGGACAAAGAACTTCAACTAATTTGTCTCGGACCAAGATGAGGGCAGCGGTGGGGACACTAGACCCGGGGTTGTCTACAGGGAAAAGTTTAGGGGTGTGTGTGGAGGAGAGCTAGGAACTAACTGCTTTACAGGTACTGGGGTTTGGAGGTACAGGATCAAGGCTCTCTTGGGTTGCAAACTTCCCCTTTCTCTGTCTCCAACACCTGCCATGCTGCTCCATTTGTAGAAAACTGAAAAATACCCCCGAGAGAGACTCATCAAATCGTCTAAAAATCAAAATTAGAATGTTCTGTCTCTCCTGTTACCAGTCCCTAATCAAGCAGGGCCTGAAGAAGCCCAGTGAAAGCACACACACACACACACACACACACACACACACACACACACACACGGAGCAATCTAGCCCTGGCAAAAGGCACAAGGCAGGCACACACACAGCCATAGCATACGCGTCCTGAGTTCTGAGCACCCGGCTGTAATTATCCGGCGCTTTGCATAATTCACAATGCAGTTCTGAAATCATAGTGATGACTTTCTGGCACAGATTGGTTCGGTGCTAACAGCAGCAGCACACTCCAAAATAGGTGGGAGGGGCAGGGGCCCCAAGGCCTACCAGGTCCCAGAGAATCCTGCAGCCTGAGTCCTCGCCCCTGCTCATGCCAAACTGTTGAGGCCACAGGGACCTGGCTCTGAGCTGTGGAAACTTGATGCTGGTGTGTTGGCACTGCCCAAAGAAGACAGCCTCTGCCAGGCAGCGATTGTGACTTTTCACCTTCCTTTCCACCAGCCTCAGCTGCTGCCAGGCTCATAGTAGGTGTCCTATTAATTCGGGGGGAGTGAAGGAAGTCACTGGCACTTTTCCTGAGGGCCCTCTTGAGAGCCCCTGGGAGGCATAGCAAGGCTAACCAAAGACAGCAAGGAGACGGGATTTGAGCTCTGTCTCAATCACTGGGAGCTGTATACATTGGGCAAGTGATCAAACCTCTCTGGGCTCCAGATTTTTCTGATCAACTCAGAAATACATCTTAACAGGATACAAGACCTTAAATGATAAGAATAAGTTTTTAGCTTTGAGAGAGAAGTCACACCCCAGAGGTTCTGGTACCCTTCTGACCAGGTGCAGACCCAGCCCCTCACTCCTCTATCCTCTCTTGGGAGTCTGGAACTCTCAATTGCAACCAGAGCCTGAAACACAGGGAAGTTTATCTTTTATGAGAGGATGTCACATTCTGGTCCAGGAGGTAAGAAATAAGAGCAGGAGAAGGACTGTGAGATCACAGGGTGTTTCTGTTCATTGCTCAACCCATCTCACTTATCAGACACTGCACACCCACCACGGGCCAGCTCCTGGGGAGACAGGAGTTCATGACATAAACCCTTTCTCAAGGAACCTACAAGCAAGCAGACATAAAAAGTGATCCATGTTTTAAGTCGGGGTAAAACACATGCAATTGGAGAAAGCACATAAAATTCTAGGAGAATATATAATAGCTCCTAACCCTGTACAGTGGGAAGGGCTATCAGGGGCTGCCTGGAATACTGCCCTTTCTTGAGGGAAAACTGCTGCCTTTGAGAACTGGCTTCTATTATAACTCACTCTTGTTAATGCCTCAGTTTAAAAAAGGAGGCAGAAATAGGACACAGTGGCACATGCCTGTAATTCTAGCTACTTGCAAAGTTGCAGCAGGAGAATCGTGAGTTTGAGTCTAGCCTGGGCAATTTAGATTCTGTCTCAAAAATTTAAAAAGACTGGGGATATATTACCACTACTATTATTAGAATCACTGTTATTAGTTTTTATAGTCAGGGTCTTGCTCTGTAGTTTAGTCTGTCTTTACAATCCTCCCGCCTCAGCTTCCTGAGTGACAGGATTACAGATGCACACCACCACATATAGCTGGCTAGGACTGGGGATATAGCTCAGTGGCAGAGCACTTGCCAGGCATGTGCAAGGACCCAGGCTCAATTTTCAGTGTTGCAAAAGGGAGAGCAGAATCTTGTAAACTAGGTTGTATGAGAGAGGCAAGTGTAGAGAGCACTCATTTAAGCATCAGACCATCTGGGTTTGACCATCAGACCATCTGGGTTTGATCACCAGCTTTTCTATTCACTGGCTTCTCTAAAAAATGGTGCTATTTTTTCCAATTATGGCCTCTCCAACTAAGTTGAAAAATCCAAGAAGATGAAAGGCTTTCTGGACATCAGCAAGTAAGTCTGCTGAAGCTCGTGTGGAGCTGAGACTCCCTTCCCCAGTCAGTGATCAACTTCCTCAAAGGCTTTCTGAGACTCATTCCTCAAAAATGCCCTTTGCTTCAAGCAGCTGAGAGATACTCAGACCCAGGACATGGTTACAAAAATGTACCAGCTGAACTTGGCTGAGATTTAATGCTCAGTCTCCAAAAGACACTCTGACACATGGCTTTGCTCATTTATGAAGAAAAAAGTTGATTTTCATTAGCTTCCAAGCCATAATTCAGCATAGCAATTCTGTTGCTTGCTCAATGGACAATGGCCATGGACAGTGTCTAGCATGTAGTAGGTGCTTAGTAAGGGTTTTCTAAGTGACAAAATGAAAATGTTGCTGCTCCTGATTCTGCTGTGAACTTCCTTACAAGTTATTTGGCTCCCATCTGACTGAGAAGGAAACACTAAGAACAATCCAGAAAAGAGATCCACGTCCTCAGGAGCCAGTGGGCACTGAGTTTCAGAGTTTTTCCTTGACACATTTCCAAACTGTGTAGCTAAGAGCCCTCCGTTACTTCCCTATTATGGGGAGAAGAGCTGGGCCACCAGCAGTAAGTTAATGCTGTATGTGAGAGGTTCTCCCCACCTTAACAAACAGCACATCTTGATCTGCATTTTCGTTTATTCAGCTCTTACCACACAGAACTTCAATTGGGGTCTGCTGAGGCTTCTAGAGTCCCTAACACCTTACATTCATCCTGCCCCAAGGGTAATCAAAGTTTTCTTGCCCACACTCCTTTTTCTCACCCACAGTGATGTTTTATAATGGAGGAAGGATGTGTGCACCTGCCTGGTGATGGTCACACGAAAGCAAGCTGAAGCTAGGGCTGACTTTATTCAGCAGACAATGGGATGCAAGGGAGCAATGGCAGACCCTCTGAGTCCCCAAAGCTTGGGCAGCAGTGCAGGTCCCTTTAGCCCTCTAAAACCAAGGCTGGCTAGAGAAACTGCCTCCAGGGGAGAATTCTTCAGCCTCTTAATTTCCTCTGATTATCACACTCTGACTTGGTTTGCATATAACCCAGGATCACAGAGAACACAAATCAGAAAGGATCATGGGACTCATTAACTTAATCATTTTATAAATGAGGAAACTGAGGCCCTCTGAGACAAAATTTGTCCTTGCTCACTCATCTAGAAATAGAGACCACCCCAGCACCCAATCCTCTTGATGCTGAGTCCAAATGCTTTGAAATTCTCATTTCACCACACTGAACTACCTCTCACTTCCTAGAAGGGCTTCTAGAAACTCCAATTAAGGCATTTCCACTTGTTAGTGACGCAATCAGAATTAAGAGTGGTGTTTTGTGCATCCTGAAGCAATAGTCCAGTACTTCTGCAAACCCAGTCTCCATTGCTTCAT